CTAGAATGAATAAGTTGTCTCTATGTTCTTCTTATTGCCGTAAGCTAGTCATATAAATACAGTCATTCCATGTAATGGTCTAACTAAGAACCTAAAATCCCCCAAGACATACACTACAGCAAATACTTCTAATTAAATTTTCATTTACAGGGTTTCTTTTCCGTTGTGTTGTGTTTTTGTAAGAGTAAAAAGTTAAATGAATCACCATGTCGTCTCATTTTATCAATTTGTCGTTCATATATGTAATATGTCGCATTAAATTCATAATTTAATTTGTCCTTATATTATTGAACATTTTTGCTATAAAACTAAATGTTACAAATTTCCCTATCAAATTTCAAAATCCTTTTTCTAATCAGTCAATTTGTTTAAGACTACATGATGCAAATAGATATACTATGAAGTTTCAGATAAGCAATAAAGTTGAATTAATTTTGCCTCTTTTCTAATATTACCTTCCTTCCATTGAAAGAATTAACTTCTGAAATAATTCAATCCTTCAAAAATATCTAATTGTGACAGGGTCATCCAACAATATAAATAATTCAGTACAAAAAATTTAAAAGTACACATGCAAAGTATGGTCACAAAAAGTTCATAGCTTACTGTGGATTCATTATTTTTCGTTGGATTCCAATTTTCGTGGATTTCGTGGGTAAAGGTCAACCACGATTCTAAATGTTCAACGAAGTACAAATTTACTATAGGCATGTATGCAGACTTTGGCAAAACCACGAAATCAAATTTCAACAAAAATACAATTTTGCCTCGATCCACGAAAATTGGTATCCAAGAAAATAAATGAATCCACAGTATATATCAAAATCATAATTTGATATTTTTTACAGAAATTTAAGTTTGATACAGTGTCAAATTCAAATGATTTTTTTGTGTATAATATGAGAATAATTTGATGAAACATTTTCCGATGTGTACTTTTACAAAACTTTATAATTTTTCACACAAATTTTATTTGTGGTGAAAATCTTTTAAAATATTTGTCTGAATTTCATGTGATCCTCTTTTGAGGAAAACTTGCCTTTTTATTGATGAACTTTTGTTAGATTTTTGTACTAGTTTTGTCAAATGTTGCACATGATATTTTAGCGGGAACATTTCAACTACTTCATGATATAATAAACATATTACTGACATATGCTTAGAAAAAAATGCTCCAAAGATAGAATAAAAGTAGTTTTGTATAAAGAATTACATGTTTTATATAGATCAATACCGATCTGAATTTTTATATCAGACAATCAGCATACTCCAGCACTATTTTTTGATTGGGAAAAAATCCAAACTTGAAGGTAGTAAATCAACATCAATATAAGATTAATGATACAAAGCATATCATATTAAAGCAAGATATCAGTGTTCAGGTCTTCAAAGAAGAACTTTAATCTTGAATAATTAGTGTTTCAACTACTTGTTGAATATTAACTGGTTTGCTACTTGCTGACTTATAACTGGTTCAACTACTTGTTGACTTATAACTGGTTCCACTACTTGTTGACTAAAGACTGGTTCCACTACTTGTTGACTAAAGACTGGTTCCACTACTTGTTGACTAAAGACTGGTTCCACTACTTGTTGACTAAAGACTGGTTCCACTACTTGTTGACTAAAGACTGGTTCCACTACTTGTTGACTAAAGACTGGTTCCACTACTTGTTGACTAAAGACTGGTTCCACTACTTGTTGACTAATGACTGGTTCCACTACTTGTTGACTAAAGACTGGTTCCACTACTTGTTGACTAATGACTGGTTCCACTACTTGTTGACTTATAACTGGTACAACTACTTGTTGAATAATTACTGGTTCAACTACTTGTTGACTTATAACTGGTTCCACTACTTGTTGACTAATGACTGGTTCCACTACTTGTTGACTAAAGACTGGTTCCACTACTTGTTGACTAAAGACTGGTTCCACTACTTGTTGACTAAAGACTGGTTCCACTACTTGTTGACTAAAGACTGGTTCCACTACTTGTTGACTAATGACTGGTTCCACTACTTGTTGACTTATAACTGGTACAACTACTTGTTGAATAATTACTGGTTCAACTACTTGTTGACTTATAACTGGTTCCACTACTTGTTGACTAATGACTGGTTCCACTACTTGTTGACTTATAACTGGTTCCACTACTTGTTGACTAATGACTGGTTCCACTACTTGTTAATTAATAACTGGTTCAACTACTTGTTGAATTAAATCTGGTTCACCTACTTGTGAAATAATGACTGGTTCAACTACTTGTTTAAAAATGACTGGTTCCACTAATTTTTGAATAATGACTGGTTCAACTACTTGTGAAATAATGACTGGTTCCACTACTTGTGGAATAATTACTGGTTCAACTACATGTTACAAACACATAGTTTGTTGACCCAAAACATTAAGCTGATATCATAGTATGTTGGCCCAACAAAGTATACAGGTATCATAATATGTTGGCCCAACAAAATATACTGGTATCATAATATGTTGACCCAACAAAGTATACTGATATCATAGTAAGTTACCCCAACAAAGCACATGGGGTTTGCTCATTGTTGAAGGCCACCTTTAGTTGCTTACAACTAAGTTATTTGGTCTTTGGTAGATAGTTGTCTCAATTGAAGTCATACCACATTTTCTTATTTTTGTAAAGTATATATGGTTTCATAGTACGTTAACCCAACTGGTATTATAGTATGTTGGCCCAACAAAGTATACTGGTATCATAATAGGCTGTCCAAAACAAATTTTACTGATATCATAGTATGTTACCCCAACAAATTATGCTAGTATAATAGTAAGTTTATCCATATATATTCATTCATAGTTTCTTTGCACACTTAATATCTATAAAAGCGATTGTGCTGAAGTCACATTTTATAATTCCAATATATTGACAGTATTTGTACTTTGTCGTCACCTACTTAACCAGGTACTTAGTGTCTGATTTGTATTTACTACTTATATTTATATTTAGAATCAATACTAAAGTAAAAGATTTAAAATCTAGGAAAACAAATTCTATTGATTGTAGTCTCAGGTGTTATAGTGGGATACAGAAAGTTATAGATTACTGACTTTCTGACAACAACAAACAAAAGAAGTCTTTAGAAACTCTCATATTTGTTTATTGAAAGCTTTTGTTGTTGTTTTCAAAAAATCAAACACAATATCTTTGAATAAGAAAAACCTGTCTAAAACCAGTGCCTACAAAAACATTTTTTTTTTCACATAGCCTGTCCCACAAAAACACAATTTTAGTACAGAAGGGATGGTCTTATTTAAAATTAAAAAAAAATTAGAATGATAAATAACTAATAAATAGGCTGCAATGATATCCCCTTCTCTCAGAACAATGAAATAAGTTGATATAATATTGCAGTAAATTATTTACAAAAAGTGAATTGATTATATATTGCATGCCATCATTTACTAATTGTTATTACTGGAAGCATTTCAGAGTTTTCCCTTAGTGTCCATTGTGTTAATACAATGTATGTATCTAATTCCACCGAGCTGTTATAGCTATGATTTAATGATGGATAATGGAGCTCTGTTGTCAAATAAACAATTAATAGACAATTAAACATTGAAAGTTATTTTTATGTGGCTGTCTAGCTTGGCTTAAATGTTAAAGGAGAAAAAAAAAAATGGCCTTAGGTCAGTTGCACAATGTTGTATGGTTGCATTTCAAAGGAATCTTCAGTTTCCAAGCTTTTGTCTTTCTTAATGAGGATTTTCTAGGGAGAGGTTTTTTAAATGGAAGTTGACAAAGTGTTTGTTTTGTCCTCAAGTGATTTTCTTCATTTATTATACAGATGATAACTCCAAGAACTTTTGTATCATTTGAGAAAACGGCCTGTGGCAATTGGAACTGCTTTCCATTGTTTAGCTTTGAGATTCAACATTGGAAAGCTAATGAAACCTTGTGAAATGTGAATGTTTATTAAGTATTTGTATTTGTCTTTAATTTCAGATTGAAGGACATCTGTGTCCAAATTGAATTGAGTTTTAACTGAACATCAAAACATGCTTTTACTATCAGTAGAATTTTGATTTGGATAAAGAATGTCCTTTTTTATTTTTTTTTAATAATATCCAAAATATGCCAAAATAAATCAAAATCATAGTTTTAATGTAGAGAAAAAAGATGTGGTTTGATTGCCAATGAGACAACCATCCACCAAGTCTTGTATAAAGATTTATAATTTGATGAAATGTTAAGTCACGTCAGTGTATGACATAATGTTGTTAGAAAGTACAAGTGAGGTAGTGATATTATATATTTTAGATTCTTTAAAGATGAATAAAACAAATACAGAGGCTATTGATCTAGGATCTCTTCCCCCATCATACCTCTAAGACCATTGATCTGGGACCACTTCCCCCATACCTCTCAGACCATTTGGTGTCCTCTTTGCAGCAAGATTCAAATTATATTGTTTTGAATAAGAATGCAGCCAATGGGAGTACAAAAAACAATTTTTTACTGTAAAGAAGTGTAGGATAAAAGTTATAAATGATTTGCTCAGAAATATAGAATGTATTTGTACTCCATACATAACAGTAAAGAAAAGCTGGGCATACCTTGCTTTTCTTCTTGTTTTTAAAATTTTTGTTTATTATTTGAAAGTTTAATTATATATTTATGTGTATAAAAGACCTCTAAAGCTATTACATCCATGTCATTGACAAACATATCACATCTTCTTATTTTTATATTGTGACATGGTTCTGTTTCTTTTCTGTTTTCTTCCTATTAAAGTGTCAGTTGCGAGCACAGCTATGTGTGGTATCTTTGTTTTGTCAAAATGTATTTTATATTGACAGAGAATCATCATGATGCCTCCATATATAATCTTAAAATAGACCTAATGATTATGGTAAAAACAAATTAAAGGACAATAAACTTGTTGTAGTGTTACATCCTCTCTAGGAGTAAGATCAATAGGTTAATTATTCTTCTTAATTATAAATGTACTTTATTTCAGTTTAAGTAGTGGCGAAGATAATTTGGAGAAATTAATGGAACTTGAAAGATTACTAGCTCAAGCTCAGCAAGAGAAAATGTCACTGATAGAGGATCAGGTAGGAAATTTGAATAGTTTCTGGCTCAAGCACAGCAAGAGAAAATGTCACTGATAGAGGATCAGGTAGGAGATTTGAAAAGTTACTGGCTCAAGTTCAGCAAGAGAAAATGTCACTGATAGAGGATCAGGTAGGAAATTTGAATAGTTTCTGGCTCAAGCTCAGCAAGAGAAAATGTCACTGATTGAGGATCAGGTAGGAAATTTGAATAGTTTCTTGCTCAAGCTCAGCAAGAGAAAATGTCACTGATTGAGGATCAGGTAGGAAATTTGAATAGTTTCTTGCTCAAGCTCAGCAAGAGAAAATGTCACTGATAGAGGATCAGGTAGGAAATTTGAATAGTTTCTGGCTCAAGCACAACAAGAGAAAATGTCACTGATAGAGGATCAGGTAGGAGATTTGAAAAGTTACTGGCTCAAGTTCAGCAAGAGAAAATGTCACTGATAGAGGATCAGGTAGGAGATTTGAATATTTCTGGCTCAAGTTCAGCAAGAGAAAATGTCACTGATAGAGGATCGGGTAGGAAATTTGAAAAGTTACTGGCTCAAGCTCAGCAAGAGAAAATGTCATTGGTAGAGGATCAGGTAGGAGATTTGAATAGTTTCTTGCTCAAGCTCAGCAAGAGAAAATGTCACTGATAGAGGATCAGGTAGGAAATTTGAAAAGTTACTGGCTCAAGCTCAGCAAGAGAAAATGTCACTGATAGAGGATCAGGTAGGAGATTTGAATAGTTTCTGGCTCAAGCTCAGCAAGAGAAAATGTCACTGATAGAGGATCAGGTAGGAAATTTGAAAAGTTACTGGCCCAAGCTCAGCAAGAGAAAATGTAACTGATAAAGGATCAGGTAGGAAATTTGAAAAGTTACTGGCCCAAGCTCAGCAAGAGAAAATGTTACTGATAGAGGATCAGGTAGGAAATTTGAATAGTTTCTGGTTCAAGCTCAGCAAGAGAAAATGTCACTGATAGAGGATCAGGTAGGAAATTTGAAAAGTTACTGGCTCAAGTTCAGCGTTAAAGCAGTAGAAAATGTCACTGATAGAGGATCAGGTAGGAAATTTGAAAAGTTACTGGCCCAAGTTCAGCGTTAAAGCAGTAGAAAATGTCACTGATAGAGAGAGGATCAGGTTGGAGATTTTAAAAGCTCAGAAATAGAGCAAAAGAAAATGTCACCTAAAGCTACCATGAAACCTATAGCCCCCCACCTCCCCCTCCCCCTCCAACTTGTTGAGAATGATTATTGTAAAAATATCACCCATATCCCCAATACAACTTGACAGCAAAATTTGTTGACAGGATAATCTCTGTGAAGATTACTTACCCCCCCCCCTCCCCTCTTTTTACAACTTGTTAACAATATGACTTGTTTGTAAATGACACCTTTAGCCCCCCATACATGTTGAGAACAGTCAGATGTTAATCTTGCTGTTGACAATGTTGACAGCCCTTTATTAACAGTTAGACAACAGAATTCCATCACTCTACAAATCAATGATTGAACAATATCAGGTAATTGTACATAACTAGTAAATTTGATAATGTTGGATTTTAATGGAAGGATGACAGGATACAAACTAATTTGTCCTGCAATCATTGCGGTAAATTGTTACATGCACTAATGACAAATAAATTGTTGATGGCATGCACGATTTGAAAAAAAAAAAATATGATTTTTTTTTATAAGGTGACAGATTTTATATTAAAATGAAGAGACATTTCACGATTTATGATTTTAGTATTATCATGCTGAGCCATGGTAGATAGGGAAATTTAATAACTCTATCTCATTGTCATATATATCCTCTACAGAGGAAAATATTGTTTCACATCACATTTCTATCAATATGTATTCCCTTTACTTAGTCTAACAAAATGTCATCGTGACTGATACGTTTATTTTTATGAAGTTAATTCCCAGAGTAAATTAATAGGACATGCAGAATTCCACATGAAAAAGTTGTTAATGTGTGGAAGATTGACAATTGTCATTTCAGAATCTATTGTATTATGGTCATATTTTTAGCAGCTAATACAAAAGACTCCCCAGTTGGTTTAAACTTTTTAGAACAGCGACTATATGAATATAATGATGTGACATTACTGTTAATATCATACTGTAATCAAAATTCATTTAAATTCTGAAACAAATAACTTTTAATGAAGAAAATGACTCTTCTCTTTTTTACAAAATTGAATACAATATTAAGTGGTCTTCCTCTCAAATGGTTCTAATAAAGAATTACCATCCCCCTTTCATGACATGTTTGATCAGTATGATTCTTTTCATTTGGCCCTTCAAGGGAGACTACTCCTTTCTAAGGCCTGTTTCATCAATAGTCAACTTTATATAAGACCACTTTCTAAAAAATTATTCATTTTGAGTCAATTTGCCCCTATTGAACGGTATTATAATAGGAACATACAGCCATGTTTATACATAGAAATCCTGCCTGAAATTAAATATATTGCTATAGGGAGGTTTGTTAGAATTTTGCAATAAGAGTTTGTTAGAATGTCAAGTTTATATAGGATGCTATTTGATATCAAGATCAATATTTAATGGAAATTTAATAGATATTTTTAGTCTCTGACTTTTAAACTTATGATTTGACTATTCATTCTGATTGTCGGAATCCCCTTACAGACATATACCAGTAAACCATTAATTAATCTCCTGGGACTGGACCTTTAATTAACTTACATGTTACAGGAGTGATGACAGTTAAGTAAATTGACACAGACTGACATTATAAAACCTGATGTTCTGTGTCCTAACAGCTGTGGTCAGCATCTCCAATTATTCATGGACTCAGTCCTTTGAAGTCATTTATTGTATTATACTACATCACAGCTTACTAACTTTCCAGAGATTTTTGCGGTGGGGGCATTAATTGTTACCCTTGTCCATCCGTATGAACATACGTCCCAAATTTGGTTTCCTTTCTCTAACATTAGTTTGTCTGAACCAAATGTTATGAAACTTATACACAATGCTTATTACCACAAAACACAGATCAAGTTCGAATTTTGGTGCCATCACTTTTACTGTTCTCATGTTATGCTCCTTTATAATGTTGTATGCAAGTGGGGGCATCTGTGTCCCATAGACACATTCTCCATTTATTTTTTCTAATTGCATAAATATGAAAGGCATTTTATCCCCCTCTCTTTCAACTAATTGTGTGTTTAAATTTCTCATGAAAATCATGTACTGAAAAGGTGTGACATTTATTAACGGCAGACATGCATTATTGATGACATTAAAAATAGTGTATGTAGCCAAAAAAAAATCCCCTTTTTTCACTTATAATCAAGAAAACAGTAGTATCATTTTCACAAAGTCAAACTGGAGAAAAATCACCTTTATAATAAGGTGGTTTTTAACATGCATAAAGACCATATCTCGATCTAGATGTTTTTTGTTTTGTGTCATTTAATTGCTGCTCCCCACTCAAATAATCTAAAAAAAAGCCATGCTCTTTATCAGACAAATCAGACGGTCCAATTGTCCAAAAATAGTCAGGTTATTTCACTAGTCCCGTTGTCCCAAAATAGCCAGATTATTTGCTAGTTCCATTGACTCAAGTTAGACCATTCAAATATTATTTTTTGTCTTTTCCCCTTGACAAAGAAGTTTCTAACCACATGCCTTAATCAATCTTAGTTCCAATTTTAATATCTCCTTTTCCACTTTTGATTTTCACCCTGTAGCAGTGTCACACACTTTGTGTTACCTAATTTTTACCAGGTCACTCTTCCAAAATGGTTTTTTCCATACAATTGCATTACTACTCATATTTTTATCTTTATAGAAAAAGAAATTCTAAAACATCTGTACATGAAACAATTTAATTGATCCTCTTTCAATATCAGATCACGAACTACTGTATCAACATGTTACTGTTAGACATCAGAATATTGATAACAGATTTTCTTAGACCGATCATAGGACAGCTATGCAAACTGTTCAAATAGCCACCTTACAAAAAGTATTGACATTAATAAGAACTATTTTTGCCTGTAAATTTCTTAATAGATATTTCTTAAACACACAAGTTTTTAAGGTCTGTTTGAAAATTTTGCAGTGATCATAAAAATCCGAGCTATCCAATATGTGTATTTCTCCTTATTTCATTGACTAGAAACCAGCTGGTACAAGGTCACAATTAATTTATTGTGCATTTCTTTAGAATGATAAGAGCATTCTACTAACGTTTTCTCAATAAGATTCTTACAGTGTAGTGTGTTCCTTTTTGGAAATTTATATCAAAATTATAGAAAAGTCTACCAGCTTTAACTCAAAATATGTATAATTTTGTGTTTTTTAAAGGTGTCTTTATATCAGTTTGACAGGTTCAGATATACTTATATTCAACATTTTTCAACTAGATCAAATCACTACTTTACCATAAAATTCATGACCCTATCATTTTTTCTTCAGATAATTTCATCCCACTACTTGCTGTTTTATGCATAAAACATGAAAAAAAATAAGATTTGTAAGGTGTATATAAAAAAAATGCATCTAATACACTGCCCACACTAGGAACTATAATTGTAGTTTACAGAAAATCAAAGGACGATAACTGTATTCCCAGATAAAGCTTTTTCTAACAAAATATTTTTTTGTGTTCATTCAATAAGTGAGGGTTTTTTTATTTGACAGGTCAGACTGCGAGAATCGGAAATGCAAGCATTGCATGAGGAACGTTCAAAGAGAGAAGCATTGGAGAGGAAACTTCAGGAAGAAACAATGTTACGAGAGGAATTAGTTCAACAACAAATCAAGATGCGTGATCATCAAGTTAAACAGGTACTACTTCTAACAGTCAAAGGCCCTGTGTTAGGGATACAAAATCAATACATAACCATAAAATCTAAGCAGTAAAAGGCCCTGTGTTAGGATACCTAAGCAATACATAATCATAAAATGTAAACAGGTACTGCTTCTAACCGTTAAAGGCCCTGTGCGAGGGATACCAAATCAATACATAATCACAAGTTAAACAGGTACTTCTAACAGTTAAAGGCCCTGTGCGAGGGATACCAAATCAATACATAATCACAAGTTAAACAGGTACTTCTAACAGTTAAAGGCCCAGTGTTAGGGATACCAAAATCAATACATAATCATAAAATGTAAACTGTATACAGTAAATAAGTAATGACACAATGACATAATATATTAAGGAAATACAAAGTGTAAAAGTTATAATCCACTTACAATATTGGGTAAATCTTACCATATACCAACATATGGATTACTGACACTTTAAAACTAATTGTTCTTCAGGAAATAAAACTTAACTGTCTAGAAGTGTCTAAATTAGGAAGCAGTACTTAAACAATCTAAATTATTCTGGAAATCATTGGGAAGGTGATTATCTTCTGAAGAAATAACAGCTATGTTATTAAAACGTGTCCTCAAACTCAAGATATTGAGCAGTGTGCTCAAATTAATATTGCGTAGAATTTGTCTTATAAATGTTGGATACTGTCTTCTGTAAGATAGATAATGCCAATGTTGTGTGTTTTGTCTTATTTCATTGGTGAGTGTCATGGCAACCTAAATGTTTTATCTATGTATAAACCCATTCATGATGTAACGAAAATAAATTCATAAATAATTCTAAAGTTTTGACTGGACATAAATTTTAGTACATTTTATTTGAATTATAAGTAATCAAGGTTTCTATCACTCACAAGCATAACACTTTAAAAAAACTCCTTAAAATATTATTACTATAAAGAACAAGACCAAAGCAAACAAAAGGCAATTGAGTCAAAGCTGTAACATAAAATGAATTTCTTTACAGTGATAATGATTTTCATTGATTTAAACTAGTTACAAAAATTCAAACAAAGAAATTTTTTCGTACAAATTATCACATGGTAATTTGGGGAATATTTATCTCTGATTAACAATATTAAGTTATGAAAAACTGTCTCTGTAACCCAAAGAACTAAGAAAAGATTTAAATATTTAATGAATCATGTGTTAAAACATTAACAGTGTGTTACTATAATAACTTTCCAGATAAAAAAATACAAAATATATTAACAGTAAAACTTCTCAAAGGAAATTATCATTGATTTGGCTTTATTTCTGGAAGACCAGTCTTGGTGCTATACTCTGGTATATATCCCCAAAACTCAATATAAAAACACAGATTGGATTCATTATCATGTTACAAAGTCTCATGGGAAATGTTAAACACAATCGTTAAGTCTGATCAAACATTAATAATTCACATCGTCATCAAGTAAATCTTTATATGGCACTATAAAAAGTACATATTTCATGTTTTATTTATTAACCATGCTGGAGATTCCGACAGAGTTATCTACCCCTAATTATATCTTCTAAGCGATTTTAATTAAAGCAAGCTTTTATGGTTTCTTTGTCTTTGCTCAGCTTATAGTGAAATCAATGATAATCTTGTGTAGGAGTAGTCAAACAGACCTAATAAGATCTTTTTTAATTTTTAGTTATTAAAAGTACATCATGTTCAATTGGGTTTAATTAAATTTTATTGATTTTATCCTAGAAATTTTTTTTTAATTTGTAATTTGTTTAAATCTGTCTAATTGAATCAACATTGAATTACTCTCTTCTTTTGATTTTTGCTTCAAAATATTTTTACAATTATCTGAACAATACTTGAGTTTGTTGCTAATCTAAGCAATTTCCACTAAATTAGTTATGGAATGATAAGGCCAAAGGAGCAATATGAATATACAGATGGGAAAAAAACAAGATTTTAAAATATTAACATGAGATATGTTACACATACTTCAGGTACAATCAAAAATATTAAAATTTTCTAAATGCCACATTACTAAATGGATATGAGAGTGGATTTCCCTTTTTGATTTCTTCTAATTTTATCTGACCAGAACAATTTCCATGGAACAATGTAATTACTAAATTATTACTTATGATTTATAATGACATGATTAAAAAAGATTAAGACTTACTATATATCCTTGCAAATGAGATACAGTGATCAGGATTTATAGACTTAAAAAATAAATTGTTAAAAATATGAAAATCACTTTAGCATGACTGAGGGCAGAGCTTCATATTCTACTTGAAGTTGTAATGCATGAATAATGATGAAGCAACATACCAAATACAATAGACTATTTTTATATTACCAACTTTTGACTCCGGAGTATATAATTTTTCCACAGTTTATTGACTTTGTGGTAGGACATTCTGACTCTCGGTCAAGTTAGAACAACTAAAAGAAGTAAAATCAAGCTTATGATTTGTGCAATTTAGAGGGATGAGTTACTGTTTTCAGATGATTTTGTCGTGTAAAGATAACAAAAAACAGATAATTATTTCCCCCAAATTGCATACATTGTAAGCTTAATTTTACTTTTTTTAGTTGCTCTTACTTGACTGAGTAGCAGAATGTCCTACTACACAGTAGGTAACGTGTAGAAATATTATATACTCCGGAGTCAAAAACAAGTAATATGAAAAAAGTCTATTACTTTTGTATTAACATACTTAAAAAAGATTTCTGGTTTAAACAAATGAATTCTAAAGCCACTGAAGCACATCTAGGGAAAAAGAGGGAAGCCTCCAGAGACCAATTTTTCATTAAACAAAAGTGTATTGATGTTAGTTCAACAGCATGTCAAACATCAATGGTATGTCATACATACTCTTCATATATATATACATATACTATTTCTCTTTCTATTGCATTAATAATTGTACCTTTATAAAATTTATAAAAATCTATTTTTATTTCAGGCTCGCCCATTAACAAGATATCTACCAGTACGTAACCAGGAGTTTAATCTGAAGACACACATAGAAACAGCAGGACATCATTTAGACACTTGTCCACACGTGACTGTTACCCCGACAAGCTGTCGGGGATTCTTACATAAAATGGGGAACAAGTTCAAAACGTGGCATAAACGTTGGTTTGTGTTTGATCGTGTAAAGCGATCATTAGTGTATTACACGGACAAGACAGAAACAAGAGCTAAAGGTGGAATATATTTTCAAGCTATAGAGGAAGTTTACGTGGATCACTTACGGACAGTAAAAAGTCCCAATCATAAACTGACGTTTTGTGTAAAGACATTTGATAGGACATATTACATGGTGGCGCCATCACCAGAGGCCATGAGGATATGGATTGATGTTATATTTACGGGAGCTGAGGGGTATCAACAGTTTCTAAGCTAAATATGTGTTACCATGGAAACAATTTTTCATCTTGATAATTATTTCTTGGTCACTTGCCTGGGTATTTATAGATTTATAATTTGTGTCAACTTTTGTCATAGTAAATCCTTACCTTTATAAGATATTCATTGTATTTACATGTATTTGTGTACCTGGTGATCAGAAGAATTCTCATAACCTTTAAAGATATAAATAGTAAAACAGTATTAAAGATATTCCTTAAGCTGATCCATGAATGTTTTTTACAACATTCACAATGTTATATTATTTTCCATGTCTTTCATCTATGTAATAGTTTTCTTTAGTGAAATACTTGCATTTATGCCGTCATCCTGAATAATAAAAAAAATTTAATTCTGAGGATATGCACCTGTATGAAATATCTAAGTTATGTCTGTATGTTTTAAAATGCTTTGTTTTTGTTTGCTTATTATAAAGTGAAAAGGAGATTATATACTGTAAATACAGATATTATTGCGTGCATTTATTATTGCGATTTTTCAAAAATGGACAAGAGTGCGAGTTCAATTATTGCGATTTTAGAAAAATCTACATATAGATCAATGGTTTAGCTATCTAAATGCAAGTTCTTATTATTGCGATACTAACTGAGTCGCATTATTCGCATTAATAAAAACCTCGCAATAATGCGTGAATTTACAGTACTTGACAATATATATTAAGTTTATATACAGGATTGTGATTTGTAACTGGTTAATCAGGTGATCTAAGAACAGTATTTTAGTCATTCTGTGGTCAGCGTATTTTGTCTAGTGCCTTGTTTGTTTACACAGATATTTTGATACTGCTGTATGACTTTAGATTACTATTAACAGTGGTCAAACTTTAAGTATTAGGTATGCACAGAAATAAGCTCCTGGTATAAAAAATATATTCTAGAAATTTTTGGTTGTATACTTCTAACTGATGTTTTCAAGGATAAATGAGTCAAGCACCAGCTGATATGAAATCTGAACACCTTATCATTGTTTTTTATTGTGTTTTTTCCGGCGATATTGACTACTGCAATTACGGAGGTCTGATAAAGAGGATTTATTATCCCACGATTATATAAAATTGTCTTCTTCCTGTCAAGTTTTTACTGTAATTTTGATGCATATAAATAATTATAATAATTACAGCCTATTTTATCAGATATTTATCTCGGACTTTATAATGTGGGTAATTTTGGACCAGAAAAATATATCTATCATAATTATTTTCAAGATTCAGTAGGGTTAAATAAACCATTGGGATGAAAATGACCTGTCAAACAGTTGTTGTTGTTAGGATGCTGTAATCGATCTGTATGCAGTCAATACTAAAAGAAGATTTATCTATATGTACAATGTTTGAAGGATGGACTGTTTTTACTTCGTACTTAATTTGGCCTTTTTAACATTTTTTGATTGGAGTGCCACTGATGAGTCTTTTGAAGACAAAACACGCGTCTGGCGCAAATACAAAATTTCAATCCTGGTATCTATGATGAGTTTATTCTGAACATATCCATGATTGTCAAATTGACAAGATTTTACGTTATTTTACAATTAAAACCAAAGACAACAGAAATTTTCCTCAATTCTAAATTTTGCTGATATTACAACCTACAATTTGTTTGATTTCAATTAATTCTCAGTTTTATTATCGTCGTTATATCTCAAAAATAGAAAGGGAAAAAGAAAACATTTGCCAATTTAAGTGTTTGACGTTCAAAGCAAAATATGTAATCATGAAGGATATTAAGATATAACTGACACTGGATTTTTATAATCTCATTAAACTTTTAATTAGAATATTTACGATATACTTATCAGGTTACATTAAGGTAGAACTTCCTTCTTTCTATAAAAGGAATACATATTATATAATATGAAGTTTATTCAGAATGACATGAGAGTTTATCGTTTGAAACAAGTCTATCTGTACACGACATCTTAGTCCGTTTTAATCTGACAAATATATGCCAAAGGAAATTTTAACATCATGGTTTATTTGATAAGGGACTTTCCGTTTTGAATTTCCTTGGAATTCGGTATTTTTGTTATTTTACTTTTTATAAATTTCTGTATGCATCTTTAAAAAATAACCAATCCTCTAATGAAAATAGTTGTGCAGAATTATCCATTTATAGACACATGAAAGAATATTTGAGAAGCATTTCTTCTTTGATATTTTATAAAGTTTCTGTTTTCAGATAGATAAAGGTAACTTATTGAATTTTAATTGATTTTTGTACTATTTTCTCCGACTTATTTAAGTCATGTGATAAGGTATAGAACATAAAGAAAGTATTCAGTACTGAGTGACATGAAACACCATTGGTTCCTTAGACTGTAATTAATAAACACCAAGGAATCGAAAAAATTTCATAAACCAGACAATATGAGCTCAGAAACTACATTAAATTCTCAATAGACTTCGATGGATTTTCTATGTTATTGTCGGCTTGACATTCACAAATAAATGGCTGAATTAGAAATATGATATGTACAGTCTGATTGGCCAGAGTGAAAGTCATGTTAAGTTTATATATATATTTAATTAAGATTTGTACCTGTTTCATCTGATAGGTTTATAAGACTGCAGACATGAAAATCTTATTTTTATAATTTTCGTAGAAAGTGAACTTGTATATGAAGGATTAGTTATTTGTAAAAGGACACTTCCACTTTAATAAAGCAAACAGAAATTCTCTGTTTTTGAAAAATTACAAAAAACATCATCTGAATAAAACTTGTAAAATTAGGCTAATATGTGGTAAATTCATTTAAATATTATCCCTTATTTTCAGGTTCTTTTGTCCTTTTATGTTCTCTGTTAACAGGTTCACTTTTATTTTGAAGATTTTTATGACATCTGCAGTGAAAAAACAAGTTGACAAAAAACATCTTTTCAAGTTTATTTTTCCAAATTATGTAAGAATTCAGAATGTCAGAAAAAAATAGAACATTTTACTACACATTTGTCTAAAATGAAATCCTGGTGCACTTTGCCTTGCATGAGGAAGTTTAAAATCAATAGGATTTCAGATACTGCTATGGGGACCTTCATTACCAATGAGAGTCTTGAGATCTTGACTGCTGAAGCTTCCACATTATTACTGATCCATGTTAAGCTTGAGTCTTAAGTATTGCATTAATGAAGCAAAAACAAAGCTGAGAGCATTTTTCAATTACTTTCTGAATTTTTTTTTCTCTGCAATAACTGTTTCTTCAACTGTAAAAAGTGCTGTCGCCAGGTTTGAATTGAAAAATATTGAAGCCACCCCTTTTCTTAAAGTTTAGTTTAAGATGTCTTGTATTTGTGGACTACTCATGACATTGTTTATACTGGTATCTGCTCTGTTTATTCATCTTACCTTTAAGCTGTGATACCTTCAAAGAACCAGAAATTAATATTTGTTCATGTTATAAGTCTTGTAACAGAGACAAAGAAAAATAATTATTTCCAGGAAAACTTCAAAAGTTAATGATTGATTAATTCTTGTTTTATTTGTCTTTGATGTTTAATGATTACATATTCACCTTTAGGAGTGCATACATGTTTTTTTTCAAGGTTTCAGTATTGTTAATTATTCATCAATAGCATTTCATATGGATTTATTGTGAAACCAAACCTGTAATCAGTGGCTGTTTGATGTTATTGGTTGTGGAGATCAGAAACAGACAAAATTCGATTTTTCCTTCCCATTTCCTCAAAAAATCTCTTTACCGATGATATGAAATTTCAATTTGTGACAAATTCATAAATCAGTTATTTCCCTCTTACAAGGGTCTACAATTGAAAGTTTAAATTGATATTTAAGTACATTACATTAACAGTATTCTGTGGTCAAATTAACAAATGTCTAGATGAAATGATTATTTTCCAAAAGACAAAAATTCTTTTACCAAATTTTTTTTAACTGTTCATACTTTGATGATATCTAAAGTATTTTCTATGGAAGGGATTTTTGTATGGAAAAAATACAAGATATCTTGTGAAAAGAATTCTTTTTATTTAAATTACATTTGTTAGATTAATGTTGAATAATTATGACAACAAAAGAATCAGTGAGCAGAAACATTATTAAGTCTCATTTTCCATTTATCTCCTGGCTCTTCTAAGACAGGATACCAGTTCATTATCTCCTGGCTCAACTAACACAGGATACCAGTAAACAGCTTTAATGTAACCATCCTAAGAATCGTATGTTTCTGCATCTCCTGGCTCAACTAAGACAGGATACCAGTTTACAGCTTTAATGTACCCATCATAAGAATATTTAATTTTATATATGTCAATGCTTTTCTGAAACATAATACCAGTAAACAGCTTTAATATCAGCATCCTCATAATTGGTCTTTTTTATATCTGCTGATTCAACATAGAAAGGATACCAGTTAATTGCTTTAATGTAAGAATCTTTTTTTTTCTATATTTTTCGTGTAAACTATGACAGGATACCATAACAGTTTTAATGCTTTTCATAAATATGTCTGTACCTTAATGCATGAACTGAGGGGATAAAACATATTTTTGTGTTCTATCTGTGTTTGTGTGTGCATGTACATGTATGTTTATATTAACCTCAGCGATATGTTAACAGGTATATGACAGAATTTCCTTGAAATATCAAGCATATCAAACAAAAACACAGAAGTTTTCAACAAGCTTTTCAAGTTTCTACTTTTTTAAATAACTCATTTGTCTCTAGATTATTTTAACAAACACAGGAAATCAGTGAAAAAGTCTGAAATGAACAAGAGTATTCTGTAATACACAATAAAGCTTTAACATCTACCTTCTTAAATTAATAAAATAGTTTCCTGTTTAGTAAAAATTTCCAAGAAGTAACCTTTAGATGGCCTATCATAGATAAAAATAAAGATAGTCATATACTGGCATATTGTTCAGTAATAAATGATTGTTTTTGGTAATGAATAGCTAAATGCTGGCTCCTGATATAGTGGCATATTGTTCAGTCATAAGTCATATTGTTTGGTAATGGAAAGCTAAGTTCTAGCTCTCATACCTTGTTTGAATTAAATAGTTAATTGATAAGCTATTTGATGTGTGTGAAAGTATTCTTGGAGTTACCATAGAAACCAAACATTGTTACATGTACTAAAATTCACTATCCAAGCTTTTATTGTTATACTATTTATTATTGGATGTTAAAGATTCTATTTTTATGTAAGCCATGTTGATCTGTTTTAACCAAGCCAAAATGAGAATAGACAGATTTGTTGACACAAATTCAATTAGTTCATTATTATTGTTGTTTATATATATTATATTCTTGTAAACGGCTCTCAAAGAGTGCCATTGACCATTAAAAATCACAATAAAATATGTAAAAACATAAGATATTGACTTTTAACTTTCTTTACCAATCCTTATGTTTAATTAGGTCTTTATCTATGATAGATTGTCAACCACTGAAAAAGGGAGTAAGATGGATGCTGGAAGAAAAATAATGTGGGAGCATAAATAGTAATCTTAACATTTGTCACCTAAAGGAATATTAATTTGAACTTCTATGTTCCCACTTCTCTCAAAACTCAGTTCTTTTACAAAAACAGAAAATCACAGAAAAACAAAAACACATGTAACCTTCTTATGCAGTTTCTTACATTGTAAAATAATAATGTTTCTATGTCTAGATGTCTTTTAATTATTTGTATTGTTGGGTTGCTGTCTCATAGATTTATACTCCACAACTCACCATCTTTTAATTTATAATGAACATTATGCTGAGATTAAATGCAGATATACATACGTGAGAGATGTAATTTCAAAACAATTTGCTGGAAATACAAGAAGGAGTTCTTATTTAACCATGGTATGTTTGTTGCTTATGTATAGGAGTAAAATAAACTACATAAGAAATCTCTATTTTCAGGGTCTTGTTCACTTCTTGTACCCATTTCAGAATAGATTTTGATGCTGGTAACAGGTCAAATATAATTATCATATTTATAAATTAATCGTTTCCAAAACTTTGAATTTTTAAGAATACTTACGATTTTCTTCCCCGGAAATAGATTACCTTAGCTGCATTTGGCAAAAACCTTTCGGAATTTTGGAGTCCTCAATGATCTTCGATTTCGTACTTTATTTGGCCTTTTTAACTTTTCTGATTCGAGAGTCACTGGCGAGTCTTTTGTAGACGAAACATGCGTCTGACGTACAAATTATTAGCCTAAAATCTTTAATGAATTTTTGTTTAGAGGTTACCATTTCTTCTGTCCTGTAAGTAAGTTAACGTTATGATGGTTGTGTAAAAAGTTAAATCACAAAAATACTGAACTCCGAGGAAAATTCAAAACGGGAAGTCCCTAATCAAATGGCAAAATCACAAGCACAAACACATCAAACGAATGCAACAACTGTCATATTCCTGGCTTGGTACAGGCATTTTCTTATGTAGAAAATAATGGATTGAACCTGGTTTTATAGCGCTAAACCTCTCACTTGTATGACAGTCGCATCAAATTCCATTATATTGACAACGATGCGGGAATAAAACAAACAGACGTGTGTCATTATAAACATTTTCTTATTTTCCCTCTCGTACTTTTGTGTTGTTTTAATTTTTATAAGTACCTGCAGAGACATATATACTAAATATCATCCTATTTCGACTGTTCAAAATTCAAGAGTCAATACCAAATTGAGGTAAATTATATGGCCTTCCAAATACCGTTTCGATTCCTAACATCACTGAAGAGACACTAATTGTCGAAATCCGGATATGGTGTACAAATTTTTGCACCTCATGTTTGCGGTATACCATCTTTTCCGCAAGTTTTTTGTTTTATATTTGGTATTAGATTAAAATTAAGATCCATTTTGTTACATCTGTGATCCGTTTATTTGGCAATCGCCATGGCAGTCAGCAGGGTTTAAGAACATCCGTTGTTCGACCTGCTAGTCAAATGCGTTTTGTTAAAATATACTTTTTCACTTTTTGGTTTTTTGGAAAATGTTGTTTGTGCTGTATTTAGACCCCTCTACCAAGAAATTTGTTTTGCATGCACACGTATAAAAATTGTGGTTTTTTATCCAACGCAGTCATAGGTTTGAACGTTGTTTTCAATTTAGACTTGTATATATATATGTCTCTGGTACCTGTGAGCTCTGTTGTAATGGAATTAATTGTGATTCAGATGATGCATATTGTTGTGTTGTTTGACAGTATTGTTTTCCCTACCATGTAAATTCAGTATATATAAAGCAACTGTTATATTTCTGACTTGGTACAGACATTTTCTGAAGAAATAGTTTAACTATTGTTCATGTTGATTGTGAAAAAAAAGTAAAATAACAAAACTCCGGGAAAAATCAAATTGGAAAGTCCCTTATTAAATGACAAAATCAAAAGCTCAAACACATCAAACGAATGGAAAACAGCTGTCATATTCCTGACTTGGTACAGGCATTTCCTTATGTATTATGAATTATGTATTATGTGATGTATTCTGTCTTATTGACTTTTCACTTAACATCAACAGTCATAAAAGTTGGTTGAAATATTGATTAAGTTGATAGTGATGTGTTATGTCATTATTGACCTTCCTCAGTTCCTATATTATCCTATGAGTTTGTTAAACTGTTGAACATATTGATTGTAATGTGTTCTGTCTAAATGAATTTCCTCTTTTAAATCATTGATCCTATAAGTTGGTTGAAATAATGATTATGTTGATTGTGTTGAGGTCTGTCATTATTGACTTTCCTCTTTACTTCATCAGTCATATGAGTTGGTTTAAATTTTAGTTAAGTTGATTGTGCCGTAATCTGTCCATTCTGTCATTATTGTCGGACTTTATTACTTCTAGAGTCGTGTGAGGTGGTTGAAATGTTGATTATATTGAGTGTTGTGTCCTATCATAACAACTTTCTTCGACACTTTAACAGTCCTTTGGTCAAGTTGAACTGTTGATTTATGTTAATTCTGTGCGTTATGTGACTTGTCTTTTGATAGTTACCGCCATGGTCATATGAGTTGGTTGAAATGTTGATTATTTCGTGTGTGTTGTATTGTGTCATTTTTTTACTTTCTTCGTCACTTCAACAGTCCTTTTGGTTTGGTTGACATGTTGATTTATTTTGATTGAGCTGTGTTATGTCATAATTGACTCTCATTGTTATCGCCATGGTCCTGTTAATTAGTGTGTAGTGTATTATTTTATAACTTTTGTTGAATAATCTTCATTAGGTTAACTCGAGACAAAAGTTTTGTGTTTGATATAACAATTACGATCACAATAATCGTTAAGTGAGTTGGTTGATATTTTTATCTGGTTGTGTATTGACATCTGTCATTATTGATTTTCCTCGTTTCCCGATGTGTTGGGTTCTGTTTTGGTTTGCATTCCTGGTCACAACGTCCTCCAGTAAGTTGTTAGAGATGTTTACCAGCTGTTTATGATGGTGTATTTGTTTTCACTGACTTCCCATGTGAACTGCATTGCTTTGTGATCGTGTTGGATTCTGACGTAATTTCTGATGTTTTGTGTCTTTTTTGTTTATACTTTTCCTGTAATCTCTATTGTCATGTTGATACGAGTTCAGGTTGTCTAGTTGTTTGTTTTTTTCCCTTATAACTGACTTATTCCGACACCTGTAATGTACTGTGATTTAGTTACTATTTCGTTAACATTGTTGTAGAGTTGTGTTGTGTGTCAATCTTAAATTTCCCTGTCGGATATTTGTTTGAGGTGAAAAAATGCAGAAGGCTGTGTTGTGTTTCGTACATAATCTCGTTTGTGTCTTCTGACTGAGATTTTCCCAAACTCCTCTATTTTCTTCTGATTTGGTTGATGTGTTAATGGTTCTGTTTGCGGTATCATATGTCACAATAGGCCTTTACTGTCATCTATATTAACATGTCATCTGTTGACATGTTAATTGTGTTGATGGTTTTGTTCTATGAATATTTACTTCTCTGTCACCTCTAAAAGTTCCGTAAATTTATCCTTTGTTTCCTGGTAGTATGAATTACATACTGGGGTGTTGATCAGTGAAATGTTTGAATATTGTCAGCTCTAATATTTTGGATTAAATGAAGTAATACTGGTGTTCTGTTGGTTTTAATCTTATTGTGTTGTCCACTGTCACACTGTCTATATTGTTTGACTTGGCTGTAATGTTAATTATGTTTTCGGTTGTCATTATTGCTTTCGACTTTGATACACTGTTGAAGGTTTTGTTTACATTGATCTTAATTGAATGTATTTGACTTCTTGCCACAGTAATTTATCATTTAATTTCCCCATACCTTGTTATATTGATGAAGATGTTGCTGAGACGTAGTTTGCTACTGTATACTTTTAAAAAGTAGTAGAATAGAATAAAGAATGGAAACTGGGAATGTGTCAAAGAAACAACAACTCGACCAAAAAGGAAAAAAAAACAGCCCATGGCCACCATTGGGTCTTTAACGCAGCGAGAAAATCCCGCAAGTAATGATGCCATAATGGCTAACTAAAAACCATAAGTCGACGAAAGACAATCACATTGTGACTAAAAGAAAATTTCCAAACGACTAAATATTTGTCAACAAAACACTACACAGAAAACTAAAAATTGGATAGAACGAACTCAAACAGGAGTTTATACCTGGCGGAACGAAAATAAACTTTCCTATGGTCATAAAGATATTTTATGTATTATCATGTCAGTGGTTTTACCCTTTATTTCTTTGTTGCAGGTTAAAAATAAACGAACGTCAATATGATTATGTTTTATTGTGAGATATGTATTAATGTTAATTGTATTTTTATAATACGTTGAAGGATGATGCTGGTATAATCTAGACAAAACACACATTGGATTTGAAATCATGTATTACAGGAAATCTGCTTGATCCAGACTGGCTTTTTTTTCAAATGATCGATAAAAAATAAAAGACATTTTAACAGTCTTAGACTAATTGGTCTAAAAATCATTCCTCGATGGTGATGTTGATATTTAGAATGAAAGTCATGTTAACGAGAAGTGCACATAGTATAAAGTAAAGAATTGAGATGAAAAGTCAGTCGATTCATTCACAGCCGGTAGACTTCTTATTGATATTGACGAAGCTTTCAGATGTGTGGTTTAGACATTTAAGGGTTTCCGTAGAGTGATTACCCAGTTATAGGTATGTAGTTCGTTTGAAGACATTGAAGATGTGTGACCTGGGAATTAAAATCTTTCTGCTAAGTGACTTAAATCCGTACCACACATGAGATAACTTCCGGAAATCTTAGATGGCTTTTGAGGTGATTAGTGTTTTGAGTGACAAGACAACTTGAAGCAATTCATGTAATGTACTTGTACTTGTCAAGTATAGAGAGAAAATCCGGGTAATCCTAGGGT